GCCGGCAGGCCCCAACTGGTCTGCCGCCCACCTGCCACGGTGGCATTTCAAAAAGGAAAAACAAATATCTTACCAAAATGAAAAAAAAAAAATTGTAGATAGAGTAAATCAAGTCAAATTTGAAAGAAAAACAAATGTTTTGCTAATTCTGCATCTAAGGCAATATTCATATACAGAGAGTTGCTTCCCCTATCTCTGTTCTTATTGTTTTCACTTACTCTGAATTATATTCTTCACATCATTGGTCTCAGAAGACCCAAGTGTTATTTCAGCAGTCCCATTAATCTCTCTGACAGTACCCTCCCTCAAGATTCAATTCAGATACTTATCTTTGTTATAAATAAAAACAAAATACCAAACCACTATTAATATGAGCCACGCTTCTAGTCCAGTCTGCCTTGTCTTAGTAAAATCTGACCAAAACTTGGTAGTTTTGTCAAAAGACAAAGTGAATGTAATTGCTTAAAATATAAAAATATATAAGGTAAATATTCCCAACAGAGGGAAGAGCACATTTCTTTTGTTAAATTTGCAACCTTTTGTTAAAGAGAAACCTATGAAATATTAGAGAACATTAGAATGTTAAATGTAATAACATCAAATTTTTTTCTAAATTTTAACTAAATTTTTAAATTTTATTTGTTATTTACAACAATAATTATAGCTATAGTTAATTTACAGCTTACCTGTGCGAAACATTAAGAAAATCAAAAAAAGAAAATTTAAAAGTAGCCCTTAATAGATAGCCAATATAAACTAGTTACGAAGAAAATGGAAGAATTAGTAAATCATGCAGGAGCAATTATAAAATTAAATTAAATTAAACATATAGGCTGAAGAACAATCAAGAAGACAGAAATAAGAACAGGATATAGTTCATCAACAAAGGTTCATTTTAAACCAGAGTCTTTAGGTAGCAAAACTGGAAATCTATAGGAAAAAAAATTCTGCATAAGCAGAAGAGCATAAATTAATTAGGAAACCAATAAACTGTATATAAGGAACAGCAACACTATTAGCTTACCCAGAATAGAATAGCTATGCTAGTTGGCTAGCTCACTTAAAAAGGAGGCTAGAAATACACTGCTTATGCTATTGGTTAGTCCTTGTATGACACAGATTTAAACTGTTGGATCCACTCATATGTGGATTTTTAAAAATAAATATATTGAAAAGATGTTGGCAACTTGCAACAATTTGTAGAAACTTGCAGATGAACTGTACATCCTAGAAATAAGCCCAAAAAAGACTAAGAAAAGGTCAGATATGTCATGAATGCAGAGAGACAATTCATCTTCTAAATAGATGACACGAACTTATGGTATTAATAAACAGTATTTTCTATTCCTTTTTATTTCTTCATAAAATTTTCTTTTCTCTAGCTTATTTTATTGTAAGAAAACATAATAAATATACGAAATATGTGTTCATCAACTGTTTATGTTATCAGAATGGCTTCCAGTGAACAGTAGACTAATAACAATTAAATTTTGGGGAAATCAAAAGTTCTTGGGGATTTTCAACCCGTGGGAGTGTCAATGCCCCAAACCCCTACATTGATAAAAACTCAACTGTACTTAAAGGGTTTAGAAAATGGGTAACTCCAAAGGCCAGTCTAAGATGTTTGTGAATGAGAGTTCTTGACATTTATGAATGCAACTAAAGTTTTTCTAGAGAACCAGTTATATAAAAGTACCAAGACATGGTTCCCAAACCCAAGTACCTGGGGAGAACACAAAAAATCATCTGTATATATGAAAGCCTAATATGCTAAGTGTCAAACTCAGCAGTTGACCACTCAGCCAGTTACTATGACACACACTGACCACCAGGGAGCAGACACTTCAACCGGTAGGTTAGCTTGCTGCTGGGGTCCGGCCAATCAGGACTGGATGAGATGGGGCCAAGACAAGCCCTCTTATAACCCCTCCCCAGCCGGATGCCCTGATCTGCCCCAATCGGGACCAGCCAGCCAACCTCCCACAGTTCCAAATGGCCCCCCGATTCTACCTTGCACAAATTTCTTGCACTGGGCCTCTAGTTAGAAAATAATATGAATAAGATAAAATAAGACTTAAAATCAAAGTAGAAATAAACTCTAATGGAATTAAAACAGAGGATGTGATTAATCTATAATAAAAAAAGGGTAATACGCTAATTAGACCGGACGTCTTCAGGATGTCACTCCGGACATCCTTCCTGACAAAGCTGGAGCCTGAGGAAAGCCAGCTGGGGTCCCGGGTGCCTGCAAGCAGCCCAAAGGAAGCCAGCCCAGGTCCTGGGTACCCACAGTTGGCTGGAGGAGGGAAGCCAGTGACGGCAACTGAGGGAAGGAAGGACTACTCTTGCATGAATTTTTGTGCATCGGACCTCCAGTCTATATATATAAAAGCCTAAGCAACTGACCATTCTACCATTCAACCAGTAGCTATGGCATGCACTGACCACCAAAGTTCAGACGCTCAATGCAAAGGCATGAAAATAATGAAACAGAATGATGAATCTCAGAGGGGGAAAGGGGAGGGTAGGTAGAAATTAACCAAAGATCTTACATGCATACTAGAAGCCTGGTACACAGATTTGTGCACTGTGGGGTCCCTCAGCCTGGCCTGGGGGGGATCAGGCCAAAACTGGCAGTCCAACATCCCCTGAGGGGTCCCAGATTGCGAGAGGGCACAGGCCAGGCCAGGCCAAGGGACCCCACCAGTGCATGAATCCATGCACCCGGCCTCTAGGTTAAAATAAGAGGATTTAAGCAGGTTTCACAAAGGAAAGAGCATTTGATCTGAAACAAAAGATAAGTAGGCTTTCAATGAGAGATTTTCTAATCCCCAGATTAGAATCAGTCAAATACAATCATGTTTCCATAGACTTATTTGAGAGGCTCTTGCTGCTGGGATTTACCTAATTTCAGTTCTTCATACAAGCAATTACTCTATCAATTGCATTGTAACACATATGAAATATACACATAAAAAAAGTTATAATGAGCATATTTAATGTTCACAGAAAGGGGGGGGTCAACATTTATTTGTATCTACACAGATTTAAAACTGAATTTAATTCTAAATTTTAAAAAAGAGCTAAATTCTTTTTTAATTTAATTTTTAAATTATAATTTGCATTCAATATTATTTAGTAGTAGTTTCAGGTGTAAAATATGGTGGTTAAGTAATCATATACTTTACAAAGTATTCCCTCCCATGTTTCCAGTACCCACCCAGCACCATATACAATTATAATAATATTATTGACTATATTGCCCATGCTGTACTTTACATCGCTATAACTTTTTTGTAACTAACAATCTGTACTTCTTGACTCTTTCACCTTTTTTACCCAGTTCCCTAACCCTCTTCCCCTATGGCAACCACTACTCTAGATTCCACATATAAGTGAAATCATATGGTATTTGTCTTTCTCTGACTTATTTCACTTAGCATAATACCCTTTAGGTCTATCCATAGTATCACAAATTGTAAATTTTCATTCTGAAATTCCTGAGTAAGGGAAACAAAGTTTAGCAAAACTAAATGCAGCCCATCAACAGAAGAGGCAGTATAATTAAAAAACACACAAACAAACAAACAAACAAACAAACAAACAAAAAAACCCCACAGAATCACCAGTATGTGCCTCATTGTCTTTAATATTCATGTCCTATATGCATGACTATCAATTGGAATTGTAAAATAGTTTAAATATGAGTATATATGTACCATGCTAGAAATACTTTTAAAAAAACATTGTATAATCAAGTCTTAAAATAGTCACATATATACCTAGTAAAACATTATAAGACCCCAAATCTCATGAGAGAGATTTTTTGGTTGAGCAGGTTCCTACTTTCTGAAACCACGAGGTTATCCACGCTCATGAGAGATATCTTTTTGTTGACCATGTCCCTACTTTCTGAAACCACAAGGTTTTCCAGTCTCAGTGTGTATTTTCCCTGCCCCAGCCCTAGAATCAACCACTTTTCCAAAAAATCTTCGATCATTTTAATAGAGAAAGATGTATAGAAACCAAAATCTGGTTTCCCCTTTTTCCACTCCTCTCCCAACTACTCCCACAGATCATTGGTTTCTTTAGTTTCTAGTCTATCCTTCCTGTTTTCTTTTGAAAATAAGATCATATGTTTTTACTTTCTTTACCAAGAGTAGCATATTATAGTCTTTTGTGTCCTCTCCCACTTGACATAATGTCCTAGAAATCACTCATTAGAGACTTTCCTCATTCTTATTTATTTATTTATTTATTTATTTATTTATTTATTTATTTATTTTTGTAATCCTCCCCAGGAGGCAGGGAAGGGGAGTGTGGAGAGAGAGAGAAAGAGAGACAGAGAAAGAAATATCAGTCAATTGCCCCCTCCCCACCAGCCAACACACACACACACACAATTGACACTTATCATATGGTCACTGCTACTAGTGTTATTGAACATTGTTTAACTTAATCTGTAAATAATTAGGTTCACACATAATTATCACTCCATTGAGGTAAAAAATTATAGTTTATACATCTTGCATGACTGTGAAATATGTTCTCTGAATTTTTAAAAAGGAAGGAAATAAAGAGGGAGGGAAAAATAGGAGTGGAAAGTAGAGAGAAAAGGGAGAAAGAAAGTTAAAAATATAGACATAAACCAAGACCAGAATTGCACTTTAATAAAGAAAAATGCAAAATAGTTACAATGACCACCCTAAAGTTAAACAGTACCCATTCATTAAATTGAAATGAAACTTACCAAGTAAGTGCGACCAACTTGAAGCAAGATGAACTTTCTCCAATGCTGAGGTGTGGGCACAAAGCTGTGGAATAAAACTTGCCTTTTCTATTTAAAGCCATTCCTTTATTGCTAAGCAGTTGGTCTGAGAGGAAGGCAGTAAGCAGGGTTAGAAAGAGGAAAAAGAGAAGGATAGAGATGAAGAGAAAAACAACATGCAATTCTGGATCAAGTGTCTTCACCAGAGCCTTACAGATTGTCTGTTTCTCACCTGGAGTTGTGCGGAGCTGTCGTTGAGACTGTCCTCCCTTCGCCGAGCCTCTTCTAGCATCTGTGCACTCTTCTTCTTTTCCACCTGCTCCTTGTGCTTCAGATTTGCTACCTTCTTATTCTGGTCTTTCACTTGCCTGTTGATAAGGGAGGAGAAAAATCAAGCTATTCATATATATGCATTAAAAAAAAGTTCATTTACAGTTTTACACCACTGCCACCAAGAACTAGCTGAAAACCAACAAAGAATTCCTGCTGCAAAATGATTCCAATACTTTCAAGGGCATTCCTACCAATAGTAGCAAATTGTTAACAATAATGTTTCAGAAACATGTATTTCAGCATGTACTTTATGAAGCACAATGAAATCCTAAAAGTAAAGGAGGGCATGAGATAGTTTGGAATGAAAAAGAAACCAAGTCAGAGATTTATACTGGAAATATGAAAATCTCCTGACATCAATGCTATTAAGTAGTAGAATAGCTGATTAAGAAAGGTTTTGTTATACAAATCTTATTTTGCTATTATTAAATCTTTCACACTTTCAAAAGGTGATATTCAATGTATATATAAATTAAAATAATGCTATAAAGATTTAGGAACCCAGCTTAAGCAATAAAACATTATATCTACTTCTGAAGCTCCCTATCCTATACCACTGCCTCCACACTAAGCCACATCCTAAAAATTGTGTTTAAAATCCCCTTGCTTTTACTAAAGTTTTGTTGCATATATCGACCCTTCATTTACTTTGCATGTTTTTAAATTTATATATAAAGTTTAATAATAAACTATTTTTTCTTTTCTATATATATATATATATATTTAAATATATTTTATTGATTTTTTACAGAGAGGAAGAAAGAGGGAAAGAGAGTTAAAAACATCAATGAGGGAGAAACATCAATCAGCTGCCTCTTGCACACCTCCTACTGGGGATGTATCCTCAACCAAGGTACATGCCCTTGATGGGAATCGAACCTGGGAGCTTTCAGTCTGCAAGCTGACGCTCTATCCACTGAGCCAAACCGGTTAGGGCATCTTTTCAATATATTTTGAGACTCATACTGATCAATGAGTATAAGTAATTTTTTATCCTTTCACTTTCAATGCAGTATAAAATAACATATGGCAAATGTTTTAACACATTCCCAAGTTTATAAACAATTGAGTTGTTTCATTTATTCCTATTATAAACAATGCTGCTAGATACATTGTGGTATGCCGGTTCAAGAGTTTCTCCAAGGTATAGGCCTACAAACTGAACTTTCAGTCATGTAGTAGGTATATCTTCAAGTTCAATATTTTCCAAAAGTTATATTAATTTATATTTGCACCAATAGTGCAAAACAATATATGTTACACTTCTACATATCCACTAACCCTTGGTACAATCAGGCTTTCTAAATTTTATCATTCTGGAAGATATAAATAAAAAATACATCATATATTGCCGAAACCGGTTTGGCTCAGTGGATAGAGCGTCAATCTGTGGACTGAAGGGTCTCATGTTCGATTCTGGTCAAGGGCATGTACCAGTAGGGGGTGTGCAAGAGGCAACTGGTCAATGATTCTCTCTCATCGATGTTTCTAACTCTCCCTCTCTCTTCCTCTCTGTAAAAAAATCAATATATATATATATATATATATATATATATATATTAAAAATTCGTCATATAGTTTTAAAATGCATGCTCTTGGCTACTGAGGCTGAACATCTTTTCTTGTAGTATTTGACCACTCCTGTTTCTACTTCTGTGAAATAGCTACTTATGTGTTTTGTCCATTTTTCAATAAGAGTATCTTTTTCTTAAGGACTTGTAAGTGTCCTTTATATATTCTGGATCATAATCTTTTATCTGCTATGTGCTACATAAATATTTTCTTCAAATTTATTAATTACTTCTTTGATTGATTTATACTATGACATGCTTTCATTTATAAAATTTTTAATTATTTCAATGTATCAATCTTCTCCTTTGTGGTTTGAAATCTTGTCTTTTTTTTCACAGTATCTTCCCATCTCAAGTTCATAAAGATATTCCCTGAAAATTTTGTAAATTAGTCTTTTTCACTGAAGTCATTCATCCACCTGAAAGTTATGTTATATGTGGTATGAAATAGAGACATAATTTCATTTTCAGGGATGCTCTGAGGTAAGAATATATATATATATATTGAAAACTAATTTCCAGCATAACCTATTATATATGCATTGCTACTTCTGTCATGTATAAAATCTCTACATAGACTGAAAGTGCTAGCCATAGAGATCAGATGAGAAGAAATAAAAGGCATCCAAATTGGAACAGAAGTAAAACTGTCTTTATTTGTAGATGACATGATACTGTACATACAAAACCCCAGAAGACTCCATCAAAAAACTACTAGAAACATGGATGTGAGGGCGATCTGGCTGCGATATCTGTCACCCCATTGATCGCCAGGGTTGATTCGGCTGATCTGGCTGGCTAGGCGGATGTCCCCCTCCTCCCTCACCGATCCATATGCGTCCCTCCCGAAGCTGCGCGCTCGGTCGAAGAGGACGACTTTCCCCCAAGAGGAGAGGACCGGTCTTCAGTCAAGGGTATACGAGTAGCTGCGCTCCCCTGCTAGAACCTCCAAACAAGCTCTCAAAAAACTACTAGAAACAAAGTTGGAGGGATCACAATACCAGATATAAAGGTATATTACCAAGCCACGGTTCTCAAAATTGCCTGGTACTGGCACAAAGACAAACATATAGACCAATGGAATAGAACAGGGAATCCAGAAATTGACCCATGCCATTATGCTCAATTAATATTTGACAAAGGAGACAAGAGCATATAATGGAGTCAAGACAGTCTCTTTAGGAAATTTGGAGAGCTACATGTAAAAAAAAAAAAAAAAATTTAAACTAGATCACAAACTTACACCATACACAAAAACAAAGTCAATATGGCTAAAGGACTTAAATGTAAGATGGAAAATCATACAAATCCTACAAGACTCCACAGGCATCAAAAAGCAGACATATGGCCGAAACCGGTTTGGCTCAGTGGTAGAGAGTCGGTCTGAGGACTGAAAGGTCCCCGGGTTCGATTCCGGTCAAGGGCATGTACGTTGGCTGTGGGCACATTCCCGATGTTTCTCTCTCATCGACGTTTCTGGCTCTCTATCTCTCTCCCTTTCTCTCTGTAAAAAATCAGTAAAAAATATATTTAAAAAAAAAAAAAAAAGCCGAAACCGGTTTGGCTCAGAGGTAGAGCGTCAGTCTGCGGACTGAAAGGTCCCGGGTTCGATTCCGGTGAGGGGCATGTACGTTAGTTGCGGGCACAATCCCAGTAGAGAGTGTGCAAGAGGCAGCTGGTCTCATCGACGTTTCTAGCTCTCTGTCTCTCTCACTTCCTCTCTGTAAAAATCAATAAAATATTTACCAAAAAAAAAAAAAAAAAAAAGCAGACATATGTCATAGCAATAGCTCCTAGGGCAAGGGAGATTAAGAAGAAAATAAACAAATGGGACTAAGTCAAAATAAAAAGCTTCTGCACAGCTAAAGAAACCATCAACAAAACAACAAGAAAGCCCACTGCATGGGAGAACATACACTGAGTAGCCAGATTATTATGCTCTCTGAACACAAAATAATCTGGCTACTCAGTGTATATTCTATATAATGCAAATTATCCCCTTGACCAGGAATTCGACCAGCAGGCAGGCCAGCCAACCACCCATGTCCCTTCCCCCTGGCCAGGCTGGCTGGACCCCACCTATGCAGGAATTCATGCACCGTGGTCAGATTATTATGCGTTCAGAGATCATAATAATCTGGCCAGTTAGTGTATTTGTCAATGCTATTTCAGATAATCGTTTAATCTCCAAAATTTACAGAAAACTCATACAATTAACAAAAGGAACATAAACAATACTATCAAAAAGTGGGCAATGGACTTAAGTCCGCTTCAAAAGAGGACATACAAAAGGCCTAGAGACATATGAAAACATGCTCAAAGTCACTAATCATCCAAGAGATGCAAATCAAAACGACAAAAACATCTCACACCTGTCAGAATGGCTATCATCAACAAATCAACAAATGACAAGTACTGGAGAGGATGTGGAGAAAAAGGAACCCTCCTGCACTGCTGGTGGGAATGCAGACTGGTGCAGCCACTGTGGAAGACAGTATGGAGTTTCCTCAAAAAGTTAAAACTGGAATGCCCATTTGACCCAGTAATCCCACTTCTAGGACTATATCCCAAGAAAGCAGAAACACTAATTAGAAAGGATATATGTATCCCCAAGTTCATAGCAGCACAATTTACCATAGCTAAGATTTGGAAACAACCTAAGTGCCCATCAGCAGATGAGTGGATCAAAAAACTGTGTACATCTACACAATGGAATACTAGGATGCTATCAAATAGAAGGAACTTTTACTATTTGCAACAGTATGGATGGAACTGGAGAGCATTATGCTAAACAAAAATTCTCAGAGAAAGAGAAATATCACACGATCTCACTCATATCTTACCTAATAATAGACAAACATGTAAATTGACTGTATCTCTACTAAGCCACCAGCCAATCAGGAGAGATATGCAAATTAGCCCAACAAAGATCACAGTTAATTTGCATACCCAGTTGCTGAGTGAAAGGGGCAGGATATTTGGGTCATCACCATGGCGACAACACAGGCATTCTGCCCCACCCCAGTCTTTCAGGGCCTCTGGCAGTGGGAAGGAGGGGCTGGAGCAGAAAGAGGCAGCTCCCAGAGCAGAAAGAGGCAGCTCGGGGGCCTGAGCAGAAAGGGGCTGGGCTGGAGTGGAAAGGCGGTGCTGGTATCCAGGGAAAGTAAAGCCCATTCTAGCACGAATCTTCATACATCAGGCTTCTAGTGTGGGGATATAATGACCAAGATAATTTGATGAACAAAAATAGATCCAGAGAAAAATGGCAGAAAGGGTGGGGGAGGGGGGTTAGAGAACAACCAAAGGACTTGTATGCATGCATATTATCATAATCAATAGACACAAACACTGGGGCAGTGGGGACTTACCCAGGGTGGGAATGGTTGCAGGGGTTCAGGGGTGGGGGCAACAGTTAATTGGGGGTAAAAAGGAGACATATGTAAAACTTTAGACAAAAAAAAAAA